CGTATGTCTTCACCTTATTCTATAATGGACACGACTTACCACCGGAGTGGACAAAAGCACATATTAACAACATATACAAAAAAGGAGATAGAAAGAATTGTTCAAACTATAGGGGGCTAAGTGTCATAAATTCACTCTCAAGACTGTATGGAAAAATAATAAAAAATAAAATTGAAAAAGAGATGACAGATGTAGAAGAACAGAATGGCTTTCGTGCAGGCAGATCCTGCATGGACACTATATTCTCTCTAAAGCAAGTTATCGAGAAAAGATTAGCCCACAACCTTTCAACTCATATAGTCTTTATAGATCTGACAAAGGCATACGATAGTGTACCACTTTCAATTCTTTGGGTAGCAATGGAAAAACAAGGAATAAGCAAAAAAAATATACAAGCAGTACAACAGCTCTACAAAAATATGACGGCAAACATTAAAACTGGAAATAGATTAACTAGAGAAATTCCTATTAGTAAGGGCCTAAAGCAAGGCTGCTGCATAGCACCTACACTCTTTAAAATATATCTAAATGAAGCACTCTCACTGTGGAGAAGAAAGTACTGCAATATGGGCATCCCAATCGGAGATGATAGATTGTACACGATACATTTTGCTGACGATCAAGCCATTCTAGCTGAAGACGAGAGTGATATAAGCTACATGCTTAGAAAACTGGAAGATATTACACCAAATGGGGCCTCACAATTAATATACAAAAAACTGAGTACTTAGTTGTAGGAGAAAAACCAGAAAGCCTACAAATCGAAATGGGAACTATAAAACCAACAGACAATTTTAAGTACTTGGGAGTCCAAATAACATCAAAAGCAGGAAGTAGCGAAGAAATACATTCCAGGATTGGCCAAGCAAGATCAGCCACCAGACAGCTACACGGACTATTATGGAATAAAAAAATAACAAAAGAAAATAAAAGAAGAATTTATAAAACAATAATAGAAAGTATTGGACTGTACGGCGCCGAACTCTGGGAAATAAACCAAAGAAACAAATCAAAAATTAAGGCCATGGAAATGAACTACTGGAGACGATGTTGCCAGCTCACTAGACTTGATAGGGTGAGAAACGAAGATATTCGGAGAGAAATGGAAATCGATCTAGACATAATAGACACAATCGAAGCCAAAAGACTTAACTGGTATGGACACCTTCAGAGAATGCCGGGAAATAGATGGCCAAAAAAAAATAGAAGAATGGACTCCGCCAACTAGAAGAAAACGAGGTAGACCAAGACGATCCTGGAGAGACGATGTCGAAGATGCAATGACCGCCAGAGATCTAACAACTGAAGATTGCTTCGACAGAAAACGCTGGAAATTAGGATGCGAGAAGCGGCGCCAGCTGTAGAAGACTCGCTTGTTATATATACTGTTAAAACTTTTAGTAGACATCGATATCCCCCTTCTAGAAGAAAGAAACACTGCTGACGAAATACGGCTCCAGTCGAGAGGAAGAATTGTGGTGTATATAATTATTAGTGCAACATACCTCCCAAACTACGGCACCCCCATATATGGAAGGAAAATATCAGCAAAGCAGAGCTCATCGGTGCTTCCGATAGTAAAATGATTCATAATACTACCATCAGAACTAGGTGATTTGATCATTCATCAATATATATCACATTTAATAGATGCCCAAACATTCCCTGACCCGAAAATCAGCCAGCACATGTTAACAATCCTACCTTATAATTGCAGGTAACTATAACAGCCAAAATACTGACTGGAAGTATAAAAAAACCCACCAGAACGTGCTCACACAGAGAGAAGAACGTAAAACTGCCAGAACTAATATTAATTACACAATATAAACACATAAACATAAATTTTTCGTGGTGCGTTGATACTTATACTGTCTAGTCAGAATTCCTTACTAATGTGTAGGGTCATACATATTTGTATTCATATAAGCTTAGCGAATGTATTTAAATCAAATGATTTGAAAACCAAATTTATGTTGTTATCACTAAAAGCTTTGTCATTTTATGAGTAATATAGTTTTATCTGTATTTTATGTGACACTAGCTTTTATCAAAATATATCAATTAGTAGAACAAATTGATAAAGGAATATATTATGGCAGAGTTTCCCAAACTTATCTAAACCGCGACCCCTTTTTGCTAAAAAATTTGTTCGCGACCCCCCAATTATTTATTCAATATTATTTGACAGAAATAGCGTGCCTAATTTAGAATTATCTGATGGTTTCTCAAATTTAATTTTACTTTACTGTTTAAGTTTAAATCAAAAACAATTATTTTATTTTAATACAATTATTTTAATGATTGCGATCTGTCCCACTAGTAATTAGTAGTAGGTATTTCTACCAGAATAGCATTTACAATAAAAATAAATAATAAAAAGTCGACTGCACATGGTACACCGCGACATATTAGCTTGTGTCTACATCGCAAAACTCTTCCATGATAATCGCGAAAGCGCTCGCTACTAGATGGCACTCTGGAAAGTTCGTGTAGTCTCGTTTTGGCTTTATATAAGAGGCGATTCGCAACGAAACCTCAGTTCGAATCCAAACAGCCTATGGTGGCGAACGCGGTGTTGAGTAATGAGTAAATATTTTACGACTTAAGTATTCCCGTTTACGTATTTACGTCTACGATAAATTATAAATTATGGATAAGTTTTTAAAAAGAAGTGCAGAACCATCTACGTCTGAAAGTGGCAGTAGCAGCAATAAAAAGAAAAACAGATTCTACATTGATGAATATCTTAAATATGGTTTTACCGGTATTTCCAATAAACCACAATGTGTTATTTGTGGACAAGTCTTGTCAAAAGAAAGCATGAAGCCATCAAAGTTACTTCGACATTTAAATAGCAAACATCCAGATAAAAAAGACAAGCCCGTAGAATTCTTTGAAAGAAAGCTGGACGTCCTTCACAAACAGCAAGACAGTTTTCCCTTGGCAACCACTACTAATGAAAAAGCATTATTAGCAAGTTATAAAGTTGCTTATCGTGTTGCCAAAACTAGTAATTCGCACACAATAGCTGAAAATCTGATTTTTTCCAGCAGCTGTTGAAATGGTACATATAATGTGTGGGGAAAGAGAGGCTGCAAAATTAAATACAATACTTCTGTCAAATAATACTATCCAAAAAAGAATTAGTGATATGGCAGAAGATATTCAAGCGAAGGTTGTGGAAAATCTTAATAAATGCACGTACTTCTCTTTTCAAATGAACGAATCCACAGATATATCTAACTGTGCCCAATTCATTACGTTTGTAAGATTTTGTAAGAATAATGACATTCAAGAAGATATTTTATTTTGTTCCCCATTGGAGACCAATACCACTGGAAAATGTTTACTCGACACTTTTGCGAAACGTACAAGTAAATATGATATTGACTGTGGTAAATGTATTGCTATATGCACAGATGGCGCTAAAGCTATGACAGGACATAAATCTGGTCTTGTCGTCAAATTACAAGAAATAATGCCAAATAGAGACATTGTTTTTTACATCGTGAAGCTCTTGCGTCAAAAGCTTTACCTCCTGAAATGGACTGTGTTATGAAAACCATCATTAAAGTTGTAAATTCCATTAAAGGAAAAGCTTTGCAGACCCGTATTTTTAGAAAAATTTGTGAAGACATGGGTGCTTTATTTGAAAATCTTCTCTATCACACCGAAGTAAGGTGGCTTTCAAGGGGCAACGTCTTAAAAAAGTATTTCACTTAAGAGCAGAGCTTTTAATGTATTTGAAAGCGATGAGAAGTCCCCATATGAAAATCAATTTTCCGATCCTATTTGGCTTCTGAAACTAGGTTTCCTTGCTGATATTTTCGAGCAATTAAATATTTTGAACAGTAATTTACAAGGTTCGCGACATTAATATAATTACAGCCACAGATAAAATTAAGGCGTTTCTAAGAAAAATCGATTTATGGTCGACCTCACTTGGCAAAAAACAACTCGATTCATTCCAGTGCCTTCAGGAAATTATGGAAAATGTATCCATTTACAGTGCTACAAATTTTGAACAAGTTTTTGTTGACATGCATGTTACTTTGCTCAATTTAAAACAACAGCTCTGGGATTATTTCCTCGAAGAAATTCAAAACAGTTACGACAGTTGCAGATGGATACTAAATCCATTTTTAGCCGATTCCTTTCAGCATGTTGAAATACCAATAAACATGAAATAAACATATTATTGAAATATCAAGTGATGGAATGTTGAAGCTCCAATTTTTTCCCAGAACTCGGACCACGAACTTTTGGACCGAAAAGATGCAGGAATACCCCCAGTTGGTGAGTGAAGCTGTAAAATGTTTGGTTCCATTTGTAACATCATATTTGTGTGAGTTAAGTTTCTCGTCTATGACTGCCATTAAAACAAGAGTTAGAAATCGTCTCGTACTTGAAAATGATATAATTGTGTGTATCTCAAATACACAGCCTAGATTTGAAAGATTAGTTTCACAGAAATGCTTTTTGTAAGTCTACGTACACCAGGTGAACTTCTTTATTGAAGGCTGTTTTTTTCTCAATAACTAGCTTAATAGAGTACAGGTGGTCTACTGTGGATCGCCCAGCTCTAAAACCAGCTTGCTCCTCTGCTTCGTAATCTCTATAGTCATTTTGTATTTTGTTCTTAATAAGTTTCCCATACATCCTACTTATTGTGCTGTTTACCGCAAGTCCTCTGTAATTTTCACACTGATCCGTGCTGCCCTTTTTGTGGATAGTAGAGAATATTCCATATTTTACTTTTTTCCTTTCACATTTTTAGTATCGATCTTGGTTAATGCTACTATTGTTTTCTCTCACACTGTCAACATCCTCATATTTTGTATAGTTGATCAATAATTATCAACTAAACCAAACATAAGCATAAAACAATGAAAATAAGCAATTGTGGGAACATCTATGTAAAACGACAAAAGATAATACTGACAATTTTATTAATGGATCATCAAATTCACTTTTTGAATACTAAAAAAAAAGTCTCGTCGATTTGTTCATGTTTATTTAATAATTAATTCATCATGTCATATAACATCACGGCTCATTGAGAATATAAAAATGTTACTGTATTCAACCACTCAACAATAGAAGCAGTTTAAATAAATTAAATAAAAATCATAAAAATTAACAAAAATAGATCATCGATAGTGAGAACATTTAGAACAGCCTTACTCTTTTTTCTTTCCTCCTAGTACTTTCTTCCTTTGAGTGAACATGTGACCGTAAAGTTGTGGAAAGACTGAAATAAAACAAATAAATAAATCGTTATAGTTGTGACCATTTTCGTTTAAAACAATGTTTTGAAGTTTGACTCTTTATTTTTAAATATAATTATTCTCTTACATAAATGAATGAGAGTGCAAATTTATTCTAAAATAACGTAATTGCTCTTTAATTGTTCGAAATTAATGCTAAAAGTTTGTCTCTACTATAAAAATAATTAACCTTTAACTTGTGGACCCCAACAGAAGCAAGCATTAACAAAATAACATTCGTCGACATGTAGTATTATAGCATTATCATGCAAATCGAATTCACAATTCAAATGTTTTAAAATCAGTAACATCAATACCTAAAACTTCTCGGCAGTTTAATTTTTAAGACGCAAACCTTTTTTTTACATCGTCCAAAACTGGTATTTGACGACTTTGAAAATTCCACTGGTTGAAAAATCAACCGCTTATTCAATTGGTTAAGGAAATTGTGTTACCATAAAAGAAACACTTTAGACAATGTTTTATTCAAAAGACAATTATTATAAGAACCAATTACAAATGGAAAGGTGTAAAACATTCCAAACATAGGGCAACATCACATTTTTTATAACCTGTGAGATAGCTTTGACACCTTTCGTTGACACCTTTCGTCCTTGAATCTTGTTTATTTTACGAAATGTTGTCGCTTCAGGACCCCTCGATCTCTCGAAAAATTATTTCAATTTGCTCATTGGCAAAAAAGCTGCATTATGCCAAATGTGACATAGTCTTGCGTGAATTTCTTTTTATTCCAAGATTATACAATACATAACTATTTACTACTGTAGCATTTAGAATGTAGAACAATAGTTTTATCCATCATTTTCTGGATTTCCAAGAGATATCGTAGCAAGAAAGCCTTTGATCTGATCGAATCTGTCGACGCCTCCCATAAATATATTGTAATCACAAACTGCTTTTGAGCATTCAATTTCCTCCCGTACTCCAGCTTTATTAGTACGCTTTACAGTTCCTTTTTCAGCAGGATTATGCATATTGCTGATCACCACCACACTTTTTTTCCTATATCTCTCCATTTTACCACAGATATTCCTCCAGTGTTAGCATCTCGTTAGCAAGTCGGAATCTCCAAGTTCTATATCTTTGTCATTTCGTAAAAACTCTTTTGGGTAATATTTTCGGTTAATTCTAAATGTTCCACAGCCAAATAATTGTCTTAGATAGTTCTTGTAGAAAAGGAATACTACTAAAAAATTGTAGAGGTAAAAACAATAACCATATTCCACACGTCTTTTGAAAGGGATAGGACAACTCTTTCCGCTAATGAGTAACTGTCGCTTTCAGTGGACTTACCAAAGGAAAAACCAATAAAAGTGATCCGTTCTCGAAGTTTGACAAAGAAAATGGTCGTAAGTTTTGTGTCAAAATCTGGGCACGTGAAAACAATTGCTTTAGAAGATCGGAGAACGATTACTTCTGATTGATATATAACTGTTTGTTTATCAGAAGTTATCGCAAAACTCGACAAAGCAACACAAAACGGAGAATCATGCTACATCAGGACAATGCACACAATGCCCAAAACACAATCAAGCTTTTGGAGCTTCAAAACCTCAAATTGTTAAACTATCCACCATATAGTCCCGACCTAAGTCCCAACATCGATGCCTTTAAAACAGCGATTTTGCAGGTGTCAACTGAAGACTGGAATAACTGTTTTACCAATTAGTTAAAGTATTTGTATTAGTTTTACCGATTAAATAAGTACTTAACCTCAGCACTCGACGGCGCCATTACCGCAAGAGAAATTTATTATCAAATAGGTAAAGAAATAATAATAAGACTTACTCACAATCAATTTAATTTAACAATCTGACGACCGGTTTCGCTTTCTACAATTTGCAAAGCATCTTCAGGTCGAGATACAAAGTTAAACTAATGCTGCAATAAAATAAACCCAATTAGGGTGGTGTCTCATAAAGATAAAATAAACAAATAAATTAGTTCATACAAATTATAGTAATTATGCCAATATTACATGTCTGTGGTTTTCAAAATGAATAATTTGAATATATAAAAGGTATTAACAGACAAGGTAAGGCCCACAATTGGTATAAAGTAGCAATCTTATATTGTAATAAATTAATAAATGAGCAAATAAATAAAACAAAACAAAACAAACATTACTTACATGCCGGTACTCTATTATTGATGGATGGTAGGTCATGGTTGCAAAAATCATGTATTGTTGATTGGAGAACTTTAATGTGCTATTGCAGTTGTTTTTGACAATTGTCAATTGATGGATGGTAGGTCATGGTTGCAAAAATCATGTATTGTTGATTGGAGAACTTTAATGTGCTATTGCAGAACAATTGTCAAAACAACTGCAATAGCACATTAAAGTTCTCCAATCAACAATACATGATTTTTGCAACCATGACCTACCATCCATCAATTGACAATTGTCAAAACAACTGCAATAGCACATTAAAGTTCTCCAATCAACAATACATGATTTTTGCAACCATGACCTACCATCCATCAATTAATAGAGTACCGGCATGTAAGTAATGTTTGTTTTGTTTTGTTTTATTTATTTGCTCATTTATTAATTTATTACAATATAAGATTGCTACTTTATACCAATTGTGGGCCTTACCTTGTCTGTTAATACCTTTTATATATTCAAATTATTCATTTTGAAAATCACAGACATGTAATATTGGCATAATTACTATAATTTGTATGAACTAATTTATTTGTTTATTTTATCTTTATGAGACACCACCCTAATTGGGTTTATTTTATTGCAGCATTAGTTTAACTTTGTATCTCGACCTGAAGATGCTTTGCAAATTGTAGAAAGCGAAACCGGTCGTCAGATTGTTAAATTAAATTGATTGTGAGTAAGTCTTATTATTATTTCTTTACCTATTTGATATGGACTCACACAAGCAACACATTCATGATTTTTATAAAATTTATTATCGTGTAATACATTTTCGTAGACGGCTACTGTCAAAATTTCAGTAGAAACCAAATCTGAAGAAAGCTTATATTATAATAAGGTGCAAGGGATGCCGCTGGGCATTTTCTGCTTATGGATACGCTGACGATATAGTTTTCGTTGCCGTGGCTGGAACGGAAGATAAACTGAAAGGAAGGACATTGAGTGGCTTAAGTTGGTGGATCACAGTGGCGGTCCTATTTGAATTGATGATCCGTAGCTAGGATTTGAACGTTGTGAATACTATGTTTGCGAGAATAATGGAAGAAAAGGAGAAACTGAAGATAGAGAGAGAGAAAGTGGAAAAACATAAAGAGAATGTTGTAGTTTTAGAATAGAGTAGAAAAGTAGAGTAGGTGCGATGAAGAAGAAGTGGTGAGTGGAGGATATGCGATGAAGTACTACCGTATAGGTTTTTTTATCATGTCCTCCTCAATCGATGGAGCTTGTTGGTGAGTAGAAAGCCCAAGTATCATTCGGCACGAGCCTGATGGTGTATTTTTAGGATATAAAAAATAAGCACTAGAAGAAAAAAAAGTCATGGAATGGGCGCATAAATAAATAACAAAGATACTTATCTATACATTATAATAATTATAGATTACAACTCACGGGTGACCGGATTATCTTGGTCGAAAAGATAATTATAGGACGTAAAAACACAGATATGATCGCTCTGAAACTGTTTTTGAATTGTAATAGCCAGTGAGTATAAGTAAGATATAATCGAAATGTTTTATTCATTTGAAAGGCCTTTAGATGTCATTATGTAGGATTTGTTGTTCAAATGTTTTGCTCGGTGGTGTGTATCCGAAATGTGCAATTTTCCATTACTATGGCGCATAAAACAGTCTCACTTTAACCGATGGCATGGGTTAAGTTGGCTTTGAGAGTCGCTGTGGTTTGTAGCTTATTCGCATAGACCTGCGACTTAAGAAAACTCCATAAGAAAGAGTCTAACGGGGTCAGATCACACTATCTCGGTGGCCAGTTCACGTTAGCTGCATGAGAGATGACCATGTCCTCAAATCGCTCGTTAAGAATGTCCAATATGGCACGAGCTGTGTGACACGTAGCGCCGTCCGTCCGGCTAAAGTATTTTAGATATACTTTGACACTTTCCTTGGTATAATTTTTCACTAGAACTAGAGTTTCGGAGAGAAATTTAGTTTTTTTTATGTAATATGGGATAAAACCTTTTGAAAAATACCGTTTTACTCCACAACCAAGAAAGAAATGTAACTAATCGGATATACTTACATGGAATGTACAACAACATCGTAAAAATAAGAACGTGTTGATAATTGAATATAACATTAAATACATTTGGCATGGTAATCGAATACAAATTATTTTCTGCGACTTCCTTTTGAGCCCAATATAAACATAGTAATTCTCCTGTAATTCCTATAGGGTACAACACGACGAACAAAGAGTACCTAAAAAGAAAAATAATTTATAAATTTTGTATTGTGCAAAACAAGTTTGTAAACATTGATGAAGTACAAAATAAGTAGAAACATTGTAAAGTAAGTGTGTATAAGAGCACGCATCTATTTGTTTTCGTAATAAACGCTTTAAAACGCAGTTACCGATGTATCTTCTTCTTCAAGTGCCCTGTCCGTTGCGAACGTTGGCTATTAAAATGGCAATTTTGATCTTGTTTGCGGCGCTTCTGAATAGTTAGACCGATGTGAGCCCGAACCACTTCCGCAGATTTTGGAGCCACGAGTGTCTTCACCTGCCTGGCCCTCGCTACTGTCTATTTTTCCCTGGACAATCAATTGTAGCAGACGGTACTTATCGTGTCTCAATATGTGGCCTAGATATTCAAGCTATCTTTGTTTAATTGCATTCACGATTTCTTTCTCCTTTCCGATTCTTTGGAGTACCTCTATGTTGGTGACATGTTCGGTCCAGGATATACGAAGAATGCGTCGGTACACCCACATTTCGAATGATTCTAGTTTTCTTGTTAGCGTCTCCGACAGCGTCCAGGCCTCCACGCCATACAGCAAGATCGGAAAAATGTAGCATTTAACTAGACGTAGTTTTAGGGGAAGAGACAAATCCTTGCTTATGAGGAGCTTTTTCATATTGCTAAATGCTGCTCTAGCTCGTATTCTCGCCTTAATTTCTATGGTCTGTTCCCATTTTGCATTTAGGTTGGTGCCAAGGTACACATAAGATTCTACATGGTCAATTAGTATGTTACTTATCCGTAATTGTCGAGCAGGTTGTTGCTTTTTGCTTATCAGCATCCACTTTGTCTTCTTGAAGTTGAGGCTCAGGCCGTATTCCTCACTAACTGAATAAAGTCCTTCCATTACTTGTTGTAATTCGTCTATGGTACTGGCAAGGATTACCGTGTCGTCGGTGTACACGCAATGCGAACTCTTATACACAGTTGGGTACTCTTAAACAATTTTTTATTTGTTTTAAGTTTTCTTTTTATTTTCAGCTTTTAAATTCATAATGAGTCGGTACAAGCGAAAAACCGATAGAAATTTAATTTTTTACTGAAGAAAACTTACGAGAAATACAGCAAAAATTAGAAGCAGGATGTCATGGAATTTAGGAGAAAACATACAGATTTTTTATTGTAGCATTATTTTATACCATTACCTATAAAATTACCTATTAAAAATTTACTTGAATTCAACTATATTTTATTATATTAATTTTAAAGCAAATAAAATTGTATTTTAATTTTTCTATAAAGACGTGATTTGTTAATAGTTAAACTCTCGTTTTTTTAAATTCTTTGAACGTGTTTTTATACATTATTACTACTTCCAATTTTTAAAGTCTGAATAATTATCCCCGCGAGTAAAAATTCAAGCACGCTTATGCTCATTGAAGAAGAATCACATTCTATCGAAGCTTCAAAACATTCTGTGTTAAAGGTATCTTATTGCTGTGTCCATCTGTGTCTATATGTCCATGATTAAGACACATTTTAAAATTAAATAAGCCCAAAATACTTATCGGGAAATGATAGAACAAGGTTTGAACTTGAATTTGGGTCCTTGGTGTATTCAAAAATAATATTTTTTACTTTTTTGAGCCTAGAAAATCGTAATTTTACACTCTTCTCAGTTTTAAATTGTTTATATCTAGCAAACGACCAAGTTAAAAGAAAAATTACAACAGATCTATTTTATTCAGAATGATCCAAAATATTCAAAAAAGATTTGTCCTCCACCGAAAAAATTGATTGTTAGGTACAATTTGTTTAAACAAATATTTAAAAAAAATTGAACAGCTTTTCGCCTAGTCGACCTCATGAAACTTGGCGGTAATTCGAAAAAAAAAATCATGTCAAAACAACATTTAAAAAATATTTATATTTATAATCACTTGCAAACAAATTAACTAGAATTTCTAGTCTACTTTTGCAAGGCCTGTATTAATTAACCTAGTGCAAACTAGTCAATTATTTAGGTAACGTTTCTACACTGTGTAATATTTCACTACAGTTTAAAGTTTGGAAAATATTTATTATTATTATTTAGTTTGTGAAGTTAGTAGTGGATGGTTAAAAGTGGATGTTTTTATACTTACATATCAAATAAATGCAATGTATTTAAAGTTTCTTAAGTTTATATTTAATGACCATAATTTTCAATGATTCTTTTTAATAGTTCAGTGAGTCTTTTAAGTGTAATTAATAGTCCATACTATTATCCATAATATTATTATTATGGATAATTAAAATTATTAGTCCATAAGCATATCTCATAATTTTTATAGAATTTTCATTTATCTGAATACGTATAATATTGTTACGATACTGTCGTCTCACCATTGTTCAGTAAAATTAGTTTACTTTTTTTTATTTTTGAAGTATACGCACGGTCGGCGTTGGAAATTTGCATGGGAGTGAATCTGTGAAACCATTACATATGTAAGATAATGAGTAAGAGAGAGACAGAAGATATATTTTCTCTCTCTTCCTCTCTCGAGAATAAAAATGTTCCTTTTGTACCTTTATATATTTTATATAATATTATATATATATATATATATATATATATATATATATATATATATATATATATAAATATATAATATGTATTAATATTCTTATTTATGTGATAAGTTTTGTATTATTTATTAAACTTTTATAATTATTTTAGGCTTTTGTATTTCAAAATAATCACTGTTTGACCGAGAACTGTCAATTTTGAAATCCGTTAGTGTCATGTGTAATTGCCAAATCCTTTACGTGTTTGGTTCATACGCTGGTGTTTGTGAGTTCGAATCCCAATATGAATTTCTTTTTTTATTTTTGAAATATTAAAAAACCTCACGTTAATCTTATTAAATCTATGTAATATACGCAAAAATGCTAAATTTTAAAATAAAATGAAAATTTACAACATAATCCGAGTTGTTGGTTGTTTATTTTTATCTTCGTAAAGTAAGTTATGTATATTGGCAGTTTTAAATACTTATGAATGTTGCATTTTAATTTATATTGTATTATTATATTGAATTATGTTGCAGTGTATTTATTGTATTGTAATTTTTATATTAATAACAAAATAAACAATGGATTTTACTGAAGAGTACGTGTAATTTTTTTTGCATTCAACTCCTTTTATACATATATGAAAATAAAAATATATATTTTCATTAAAATATTGATTCAATCCTTAATTTATCATACTCCTATTACAGGTCAAATGTTTATATACAGCAAACGATACACCATATACCTATATAACTAATTCTTTTTTTCTTTCTGCTCTCTCTTACCTATAGCATTACATATGTAATGATTGTGCAGATTGACTCCCATATAAATTTGTAACGGCTTACGCGTGTATAGAAGTATAACTTCTACCGGCAGTCTCACTGGACTGCCACACCCGTTTTTTTCAGTGTGAATGGTTCAATATCACAGATAGGATGGGAATGAGTTATAGGTCTTAATTATTACCTAATAGCTAATATGATTTACCGACCTCGTGCGTAGTCGTCAAACAAGATCACTTAATTCTAATTTCTTCTTTAGGTCGTCTTCTTATCGCCGTATTCTTCAAGGATTAGGACATAATGATCTGTTCCAGCTCACTGTTCACCTTTTCCTAAAGCGACCAATGCAGTGCTTTCCTCGTGGGTGGTATTTCACTGCTATTTTTGGCATACGGTCTTCATCGATAGTACCAGTTGTTACGGTAGTGTTTGATTTTTACTTCTATTGACCCTATATCGAGTTCTTTCCTGATTTCATTATTTTGTATCAGATCTAATTTTGTATATTCCTTGAAGATTCTTAGAAATTTCATTTCTGCTGTCTGGATTCGTGACATGTCTAATTGTTGTTTGTCTAAATGTTTTATTATCCACGTCTCGCAACCATACTGAAGGATGGTACGGTCATTGTCTTATAAAACTAAGTGGGTATCTTTTCTGAAAATGGAGCGGTATATGTCACGTCATAAGTATTTAAAATAATTTACTTGTTCCAGGTCGGTATTATCAATACAGATTTTAGATCTGATAGTTTCCTTGCCGTGGAATACCATGACTTTTGTTTTGGTTTTTGAAATTTCACTGTTGTATTTTTTGGCATCAAGATATAAAATTTGTATGGTTCTTTGTGGGTCATCTTCGGATGTGGCCAGAATTGCTTGATCGTCAGCGAAAAGCAGGTTGGTAATTTAGGTTCTTAGATGGAGGCTAATTCCCTTGGATGCTTTTGTTTTTCATGTTCTAATCAAGTCATCTAAATATATATTAAAAAGTATTGAAGATAGACAGCATCCTTGATCTATTAGGACTAGATCTCATTGAAAAAATGCTTACCCGACGAACTAGAACAACTGTAGTCAATTACCAGAAAAAGAGAAGAAAAGAGGATACACCAACAGAAAAGAATTCAAGGCGACTACAAACCAATGCAGACGTTCAAACGGTGACCTATTAACAACATGGAAGGATGTATTAAATCGATGGGTAGAATACTTTAACCGGGTACTTAATATAGAGGAGGAAGAAGAAAACCTGGAAGTCGAAAGACACGAGGTAAGCGGAAGAGACCAGAGGGAAGAAAAACCACCAACCATTCTTGAAGTTGAAGACGCAGTCAAAAACTGGCTAGAAACAAATCATTCGGAATAGATAATCTCCCAACTGAACTATATAAAGGTGGTTACGATATCATAATGGCACTACAGCGGTTCATAAAAAAATATGGACAAAGAAATCCCTCCTCACTCAGTGATTGGAATATTGCAACTTTGCATAAACACAAAAAAGAACATATCCTTGAATGGTCCAACCTCAGAGCAATAAGGTAGCGTACAAAATATTCTCCACTATACTATGCCACCGAATGGTACCACATACAGAACGAATAATAAGAAAATATCAGGCTGGTTTCAGAGGTGGTAAATTTACAATGCATCAGATTGCAACCCAGAGAGAAATT